TGAGCCACTGCAACCAACTTGAAAGTTAGAGCTATAGACCCTAACCCTAACCCTAACCCTAACCCTAAGTCCTAACCCTAACCCTATCCCTAATTCTAAAATAAAATAAAATTAGCCAAAAATAATAATAAATGAAATAGTGACAAAATTAGCCAATCAGAGAAGAGAGCTGGTTGTTTAGTTTTCAGGATACCAAAACCGGATCCGGTTGTTTAGACACTTCGAATATATTATTATTATTATAAACACAACACAGTTCACTAGTCTATAGTTTGGAGAAATCGGGCCGTTTATTGAAGTCATGCGGTCATACGATCCATAAAGCCAGGCTTATGTCGGCCTTGCAACGCGACACGATTGCCTTGCGACTGATTTTCTGCCACTGGTAGCGGTTCCAGCGACAATCGCGTCGCTTAGAAAGTTCGACATAAGCACCCCTGCGACTGCCAGCAACGGGTCTGCGACTGGAAAATTGTCAGTCGCAGCGCAGTCGCAGCGAGCCTGTCGCAGAGTTCTACTCTTGCGACGCGACTGGTTCCACCAGTCGCAAGCATTGTTTTTCATGGTTACTACCCGACATAAGCTGCCTAATTGCAATCGCTGCGACGAGATTCGTATGCATAATGAACATTAATGCACGCGAATAAAACAATCAGTGCATACAGTCATGTACACAACATGCACACAGCAACAATTAAAGTCATGTAAACTCATTTAGTTGCGCGATCTATAGGCGATCGCCGCTTCGTCCTAAGCGCCTTCTGCGACTGCCTGTGACTGGTCGCAGGCAGTCTCTGTCAGTCGCGTTGCCATTGACCTAAGCACTGCAGTCACAGTGAGTTGCAGTGTGCCACGTCGCGTCGCATTCAATCGCAACCTGACCTAAGCCCGGCTTTAAGCCTACGACCCGCGCCGCCAAAACAAGCATTATAATGTATCTTGATGTTTATCTATGTAGGTTAGCATTCCGCACTCTAGTCAGGAAATATGGAGTTGATCTGGCATTCACCCCGATGATCATATCCGACTCATTTGTAAGATCTATTAAAGCTAGAGACAGTGACTTCACGACAAATTCAGGTAAATTATCAAGAATCCATTAGTAGATTGTAGGTAAAGTAATTTGGTTTTACTAAGCCTAGAGGTCCACAATTACTATACTATAAATCGATACTACCTTGGATATAAATCTATATCTTACCTTCAATATATTATTTAAAATTTAATTGAAAGTCTTTGATTCTGTATTTTAAGCTGGCCATTTAAAATGCATGCTGGTTGTTCCTGTGTGCGGTTTATCATAGTTGTGTGACTGTATCATTTAATAGACAGCAGAGCAACATCTGGCTAAGTTCAGATCGAAGCTTTGTATTCAGCTATGCTAGTAGCTTTGCTTGTAGTTTTGTATGTTCACATATAGCTCGGTCATCGGCCCCTTGTGGTCGTAGCCACAGGGGCGATGCTAAGAGTAGTAAAATGGAGAGTGATAGAGGTGAAACCAATATGTCAGTTGAACTTGCATAAAGCCAGTAGTTTCAATAAACATTTTCAATTTTATTTCTTGTCTCTAGGTGACAGGCCACTAATCGTCCAGTTTGCTGCCCATAATGCCAAGGATCTGGCAGATGCTACAGAGATTGTTGCCCCGTGAGTTCGTCTATTATCATTATTATTTCCTTTGGCTGCGATGTCGGTTCTACGTATTGGTCAGTAATAGTATTTGTTGCACCCTCGGACATTCATTGTCAATTATTACAATATGTTATTGCTGACAACTGGCTGCCTGCTTGTCACCATTGCAGGTATGCTGATGGAGTGGATGTAAATTGTGGCTGTCCACAAAAGTATGTATGAAATATAACACATAAATATCTACAGATATGTATGTTTAAATATGTATATGCGTGTGTGCGTGCGTGCACATACATATATATATATATA